TCGCTGTCGATCGCAAGCAGGCGCCAAGAAGTCTCCGCTGCGATTGGCGACAAATGCTTGGAGAGCACGAGGCGTTGCAAGAAACGGAATTGCGCCTGGACAGAATACATAACAACGGCGAGCGGACGATGGACGCATACATGTATCAAGAGATCGTTCCGCATGCGATGAGGATGGCGCCTACTATTTTTGCCCTTGCGCACCCTAGACGCAGCAGGCATGCACCCCACGCCAGTCGAGTGTCCGCCTGATGATAGTCCAGGCAACAGAGTGGGTGGCGCGAGGTGTGAATCCAGTGCAACATCGTTTCGCCCTGGTACACGCACTTCTTCCTCACACAGTGTGTGGCACCTTTTTAGAAGAGATTATCACGCCATCGAGGCGGATGAAGTGGCTCGAGTAGGAATAAAAGGGAGGCGTGCTCCGCAAATAGGAGCTTCCGCGGAGAGGACCGAGGTACAATCGCAAGAAATCAGTCGCTGGTCGGTGGCTTGGCCGACGAAGGTAGATTGCTAAGCCTGTAGGACACTCTCACTAGGCAGGGAAACGCTGCCGGATCGTGAGAGGCGCAATGTTGCTGCTGCCTGGACCAGCTCACGTTGCGATATGGCAGCGATTGCGCTGCGGTGGCAGGGACGGGAGCAAATGTTTAAAAGACGGGTCTCAAGTCGCACTTCACAACTCCTGATCCTCCATTCTCACACGGTCTCCCTCACTTTGATTCGATTCTTCAATCGGCTTGAGATCAAGGCCAGGCAAAGCACCAGAAGTGAGCGCTATCTGGATCGCACTTTGTCACAACAGCCGCAGACCTAGTTGCCTCTTCGGCCCATTCGTAGTCTCGACACCCTATGACCGTAGTTTCGGAGTTAGGCGCTGCAACATGAAGCCGAAAGGACTACTGTTCTCATTCGTCGTCTTGGCTTTGGCACTTGCCGCAGCCAGCAGCCATGCCCATCCAGTACGTCTCGCTCGAATGAAACGAGACGACGCCGCGCGAGGCAACTTCAGCGGCGCATCAAAACCTTACGATCCACCAACAGGCAGCAACTCACGCAGAGACCATGACGAGCACTACCTCATGGCCCTTCGCCAGCGCTTTAGCGAAGCAGACGCGCCAGTCTCGCCGCTCGAGACTCCTATTCTGGAGCGAGGCGATACCTCTACGATCATCACGCGAGAAAAGCAAGCTGCCAAGCCTGTTCAGCCTCCTGAAGGTCTCGACCGAAGAGACCGGGGTGGTCGAGGTGTTGCAGATCTTCTTCTACGCTTCACGACAGACGACGTTTTGCTCAATGATCGCGAGCTCGATCAGCAGCACATAGTAGTGAGAGGGAATGGACGAAGCGCAACAGCAAGGCCAGGCACAGGCGCATTGGTGCCAGGCCCAGGAGGCGCAGGCACAAAACCAGATCCGAACAAGGAGCCGGATGATCCAGGTCGTCGTCGACGAGCCTCCCTGTCGATCAGTGCAGACCAGCTCGAAGTCCGCACTCACGACATTTCTGACTGGCTCAGATCTCGTGATAATGCCATTGAGCTACGAGGAGACGGCGGCAAAGCGCCAGGCACGAACCCCGGCCCAGGAGCTCCAGCAGATCCAGGAGATCCAGGTCGTCGTCGTAGAGCCTCCCTGTCGATCAGTGCAGACCAGCTAGAAATCCGCACTCACGACATTTCTGATTGGCTCAGACCTCGTAATAATGCCATTGAGCTACGAGGAGACGGCGGCAAAGCGCCAGGCAAGCAACCCCCCAGCAGATCCAGACGATCCATCAGGTCCAGGAGATCCAGGAGATCCAGGAGATCCAGGTCGTCGTCGACGAGCCTCCCTGTCCATCAGTGCAGATCAGCTCGAAGTCCGCACTCACGCTCC